TGTTATGGAATATATTTAAAAAATGCAAATAAAAGAAATATTTTATGCGAAATATTTCTATACATTCTGAAATTCACGTGTTCGTTATAAAGAAATAATTTAATTTAATTAATCTTTTATATAGAGAACAATCTGATAAAGTTATAACTTTGAAGTACAGATTACTGATTGGCGAGTGAAAGAAAAATTGTATATATGATACAGTACATAATTGGTTGTTAGCTACATAAAAATGTCTGATAGGTTCGTTCAGCTTCGTTTAGTGTTCTTGGTTTTCTATGTGCTTCGTGATCACGCTTCCCCCCGACCGGTACCACCATCTTGTTTGTTTCATCAATAGAGAGAGTATAAGACTTAAAGACGATTAAAATTTTTTTAAAGTGTTTTTGTTTGTCTCTTGTATACAATACACTATAACAGAAACTGTGAACATGTCCCACGGTGGCAGAAATGAATGTAGAATTTACGTGGGTAATTTACCGCCTGATATAAGAACGAAAGACATTCAAGACCTTTTCTATAAATTCGGTAAAGTTATCTTTGTTGATTTAAAAAATCGTAGAGGACCACCGTTCGCTTTTGTCGAATTTGACGATCCAAGGTATGTTCCATAAGTTACAGTTGCATTCAAATTTTTTACTTTTAAAATGTATTGTACACATTAAACACTACATTTATGTTTCCACGATATTTCTTTTTATTAAGTGTGAAATTATACTTAATGTAATCACATAAGTGTAATTTTATTGCATTAAAATTATTAATGTCTCATTCAATAATTTGTTATTTCTTATGTACAGGAGTTAATTTTAGCTCAATTTAATGTTATGTAAAAGTTACACAAGATCTGTAAGTAATATAAGGACTATATTTTTCTTTTAGGGATGCAGAAGATGCAGTGCATGCAAGGGATGGATATGATTATGATGGTTATAGACTACGTGTTGAATTTCCAAGAGGTGGTGGACCTAGTAATAATTTCCGTGGTGGTCGAGGAGCAGGTGATAGTGGAAGAGGTGGTCGAGGTGAAATGAGTAATTCTCGAGGACGTGGACCACCTGCAAGAAGGTCTCAATATAGAGTTCTTGTTACTGGTTTACCTCCTTCTGGTAGTTGGCAAGATTTAAAGGATCACATGCGTGAAGCTGGTGATGTATGCTTTGCTGATGTTTATAAAGATGGCACTGGAGTTGTTGAATTCTTACGATATGAAGATATGAAGTATGCTGTGAAGAAGTTAGATGATTCAAGATTTAGGTCTCATGAGGTATGATACAAAATAATTTATTCCTTAAATTTTTCTATATGGGCATGTTATATAATTTTTTTTTGTTAATAGGGTGAAGTAGCTTATATTCGAGTGAAAGAAGATCATAGCAGTGGCGATAGGGGGCGCAGTGAAGATAGGGAGAGAGGTCGAAGTCATTCACGAAGCTATAGTCCACGACGTCGTGGTTCACCTACTTATTCACCATTGCGACGTAATTACTCGCGATCAAGATCTCGCTCCAGATCTCGTTCATACGACTAGTGTGTACGTATATGTTTCACATGGTAATATAAGTAAAGGCTTATCAATATTTGCTTTACCATGTTTCATTATTACTGATTTGAATTTCACTTAAAGACACCTTCCAATCCAAACCAATTTTGTACAAATTATAAAATTATTTCCTCATTGCTTGAATTTAATAATTGTATTGTACCTAATGTATAGTTAGAGCACGGTTCATTTTACATATACTAAAATTGTTTTATCAAGAATTTTGTCATTTTTCGTTTAAATATTTTTGAATTATGTCTGTTACAAATTAATTTGAATATATTTTATAAATCCATATTTAGAATTAATTATCTAAATAAACCCGAAATAGCAGTTACATATTTCAATAGTAAATAATTGGCATAAAGTTTTATTGTCTTAATTTTTTTGTCTCGATAACGGGAATCGTGCTCATATTAATTGCATACTATTGTTGAATATATACTGGTTAGAGTTACTTTTATGTTTAAAAATACATTCCTTTATATTTTGCAATTCGTTTTGACACTACAACTATATTTAAAATGTGTAACAATTTTGAAGTATTACAAATGAGAATCTAAAATGAAGTGACTAATATGATTTCAGTGATTTAATTAATGTTCACACAGGTAAATAGTATTTGTCGTATATATGCCAATATTATGCATGATCAGTGTGAATGTTCTCATTTGCAGACTTAGAATGTGATCATTCTCATTGAACTGCATAATATTACAATTGGTAATTTTACTTCAGTACTAAGTGCTTGATGTGAACACAGCCTTTGTCTTTTTACATTTATTTATTCACATTTGCAGTGATGAGAACAGCATATTTAAAGCATATTTAACATGAAATTTTTTTAAGCTTCTAATGCTAAATGCTAATCATATACATTTATAAAGCTAACATTTTTCTTGTTAACAGCTCAAAATTATTTTGCATATATTAAATAAAAATTAGTAATAACATTATAAGATAAGCATATGTTTTTAATGTGCATATGTGACATGCAAGATAAAAAACAGTATAACACATAATGAACATACTGTCTTAAATGTTCAGTTAAATAGATTTTTTCTCTATATTTATTTATTATAAAAATCACAAAGTTATTTTCTTTCACTGCATATAACTTTATCTATATTTACCATTCTGTAAAATTAAAAAATTGAGATTTTAAAACATTAGCTTAACTTTTGTATAAGCATAGTAAAATGTATAAGCATAGTATGCTATGGTATCATTGGATGTAAATTATTGCTGTTATTTTACCTAATGCAAAATATTACGAATACTTACAAAAATTAGTGCATGAATAAATACATCAAGGTTGTTTACACGGCTCATCGTCGTTTAAGTTATCACACAAATTTAAATACTTTTGTTTTGGCTATATAGTGATGACAATACAAAATACTATATGTGCTGAAAATATAACACTTAACACTTAGATAATGTAATACATCGATACCCATCAAATGATGGTACATATAGGGCATAATATTTGATAACTATAGGTAAAAGATTTATTTTTACTAGTAGATTAATATTCATATGACCAATTTGCTTTGAAAAAACTGATATAACTGTAATTTCTTATGCACTGACATTGTTTACTTGATACGATCACAGCTTAAAATACATCTCCTGTATTTGAGTGTTCTTTAACGACGATTATTGGGCCATTCTTTTGGTTTGATGAAAAACCATGTATTATGTATCACTTTAAAACGAAAAAAAAAAAAACATCTAATTCATATTGAAATTATTATTAAGGATATAATAATATGCTGTTACTATTATTTGGATGTCTGTGAAATATTGAAGTAAATTTTAAGTTATACACGACTTACCTTGAGAAATGTGTTTTTATGAATCAGATATCACTTGCAAATAATACTCTGCTACACATTTCTCGTCCAACGTTTTCCTTTTCAAAAAATATACAGACGAATTTTTTGAATTTTGCAACTTATGCCCAAAATATACTTTTCTAAATTCTTTGTCATAGAGTAAAAGTGTTGAAGGAAAACAATGATTTCGTGTATTCTTGAGCACATTATTATTGCAAATTGATCTTGTGATTTTGGTTCTTTTTACACCATTTACATACATCCAGTAAATGTAAGAAAAGTTCTAAATTTAAATTAAGCAGATACAAAATGTTTTTCTGTACAGTATTTGCTCAGTTTATAAGACGTGATATTTAAATACTATAAGTCACAAGGATTACATTTGCAGTGATAAATTTTATATATAACATTAATGCATATTGTATAAGGGACTAATGTATTTTTTCTTCTTTTGTATATTGGATTGGATTGTAACACAATGAATGAAAAACTGAAATCGACACGATCTTACTTCTTGGATGGATATAATACACATTCGCTTGACGGTGGGATGAGATGGAATGCGTTTTGGATGGATTTATGTATGGAGCATATATTATAAAAAAGGATTAAGAGAATGCAAAAATAATGAGGCATTAAGGATACTTTCAAGAGGAAATTCAGGATCAGGAATTCAGGAAAGGAATTGGATGAAAGACACAATCCGTTTCATTCAAGGATTCTCAATTAGCTGGATTTTCATCAGAAAACGTTGGCAAATCCATTACAAGGATTCAAAGCGATTATCCATATTTTTCTCTTTCGTATCGTTAAACAAGCATATAAAAATTATTTAATCGTGATATATAGCAGTGCTTTTGCGTTGACGGACTAAAGAAAAAAATATATACCGTAACTGAAAAACGCAGAACGAACATCTTCGACATATTTATGTGTTTATATAGATTTCTTGATCGTTTCAGTGTTTCGGATTTATTATATTCACGCGATTAATAGAGAAAGTGACTTTCGCGATTTTTATCTTTTACGTTTTTTTTTTTACACATTCAGAAAAGAAAAAAGAAACAAAAACTGGTAATGGAATGTCAACATTGTAACGTTTTATTTTACATATATGAAAGTACTCGCTTATAGTTTCGTATGTCAAATATTCGTAAGTCGAGAATTATTTTTATCTTTATCGAAATGATAACTTTGATTCTCGTCGTCAAACAGAAGTTCATAGATTGACCGGAAGTATCATACGTCTCATCCATCGACGCCGAGTGATCGATATTTCGCGAGAAAACAGAAAGGATATGCAAAACTGATGCCTGGTTCAACGCGAAGAAATCTGCTTGTTGAGAAATCTTCTTCATTTCTCGTTCGGCTCGTGCAATGTATAAGCATTAGCATTTTTAGGCAATATGATCGAACGGGTTTACTCCATGTTTAGCGTTCTTCAGGATCATGGAGAATGAACAGTGCTCCTCCAAGAGAAAACTGTCGCGTTGTTAAAATAATGTGTTTCCACGGGTTCGCTCTGCTCGAGATCGACGTTCGTCCGATTGCTCTTCACTCGGTCGTTTCGATCTTTGATCCGTACACGTTGATCCATCGTGACAGTGTGTACATATACTATATACATTTTTAATATACGTGTGCTGTATAGTATGAACTCACACTTCGTTCCTCGGGGACTCTGATGCGCGCGCAAGAGGATATTATTTTCATCTTGTAAACAAGGACTGGCTCTCCCTAGTTGTTGAGGATCTCACGGGACGGAATAAAAATGATAAAAACGGAAAGACAGGATTCGTCAGAGATACGTTGTGCGGGATTAGGATGCTGACAGGATAAAATTAGTGTTCATGATGGATATTTTGGATAACGGATAAATTGGCTGGAAATGTTCGACGGATTCTATAAATAAACGGATCACTTGGATCTTTTGATCGGACAAAGTATACTATACGCCGTGTTCATGCCGTGTGGATGGATTTGGATTATCGGAACTGTCGATCAATTATATAAACAGAAAGTAGAGCGTGGCTCTGCTAGTTCATGCTTCAAATAGGTTTCACGGATTTATCGCCTAGGTCGGATACGGGATTTGGACTCGCACTTGTCGGGATGAATACAGGAATAAAAAAATAGTCGGATATCATTTTTCGGATAACACGGATGGTCGAAAACGGATGATGCGATCGCACACACTCGCTGTAAGGTATTTGATCAAGTTTATATCTCTGACGTCCCTTCGATATTACACATTTTTTGCATGCATTCTTCTAAACGATACCAACAAGTCCTATGAAAGTCCAGAAAAAAAAAAGAAAAATCCATTTTTTGATTTTTCACACTTTTTTTCCGAAACTAACTTAAAACAAGTAACATATATAATGTTCGTCTGTCCGAGAGGTCTGTTTCAGTGTGTTTACATTAATCATTCATGATTTTTATGTTTATCTTATACATATATACTCATGCACATAAGTTCTTTCAACCCTGAAGTTTCTCTCATAGTTTTTTTGGCAGTGTGATTATCCACCTCCTAATAGTAACTATTAACCCTTCCTTGATAGTTGCCTAGTGTTCCTTTTAATTAGAACCCCTGGTATTATGTTTGTCACTCCTTAATGAAAAGAGAAATTTTATAGAACTCCTGATTGTCGATATCTGTTCAGGAAGCAGGAATAAAAAAGTTTGATTGTTTTTATCATTGGTACATTCTTGAATATAATCCTGAATTCCTTTCCTCAACTAATGTTTATTGTAAAACAAATATGGCTTTGTTATGATTATATCACTAATATCAATTGATTGTACAATCTTTTTCATGTATTTGTTCAAGAATACAAGAGAGAATTACGTGAGTATAGATTTACTCTCTTCTGTGAAAATTTCATTTTTTCTTTTTGTGATTTGAATAAAATATGATAATATTATATTGGAAGATTTATGATTAATCCAACATTATAATGAAATTTTTTTTGTAAAACGTGAACATTGCTATTATTTTTGTTTATCTAAATATTTGTAATACTTTATTTTATAATATTCCGTTCGTTCAAATTTTATTTACGAAGTATTTGTAATACGGCTCTCAAGAAAAACGTGTTCTGATGGCCGAGGTAACGAAGAATGAAATTTTGGGTGAGTAATATGAAAAAAAGAAGAGAACATAATACTATTAATCTTCTGTTATTAGTTCTGTTCAGATGATCCATCGGATCAAGAGAAGAATAAGCCTCCAGTACT